CGAATACTACTACGTAACATTCAAGTACAAGCTCTCGAGGCATACATACTGTTGTTTGTGCCATTTACTAAGAGATTGCTGCAGTTTTGGACGGAGTTTATCTATTAAGAGTACAGAAAACAGCATCTAGATAACAATATGTGTGGAAGAACGGCCTGGTATGTGTTGACAATTGTTAAAAGAATATTCTTAGGTCGTAAACCATTCACGAAACTGAAGAAGCCAAACCCATAAAGTACATTACTCATACAAGAGACATGACTATCGGCATACAGTGCATATAGAGCCTTGCCCCTATAAAACGATCGAAATAACGGCGTAATAGTAATTATGATAGTAATAATAACCACTTCATTGATCTCGTACTCAACCCACCATCTCTCCTCAGTACCCTTGCTCCTGACGAAGTATGCAAAGCCTGCAGCTCCCGGGCACTCGACAGCAAAGGGAACAAGCAGTATCGAGCAGCTGACTGGCGTGACCATCCAGGGAACCACAATTATTCACCGAGACAAAATGTGGCACCCACGTCATTCACTCCAGTTATGTTGAGGTATGGGTCAAGGTCTTCCTCCTGAGTGGGAATTTGGCTCCTCATGATGCTCTGTCATGAATATTTGTTTATTTTTATGGTGCTTTGCTGTCATTGTGGATTTTATCCTTATTGCTGCATGACCTTATGATTGTTATTCTTGGTGCTTCATAATCTTCGACAGCTTTTGGCTAGTAATATGATTTAACTCTTGATAGGACTATAGACATATACTAGACTTACAAATAACAGTCAGTTTTAGTTTCTCATACAGGTGTCTCTTACTGAGGGGGATTTTTCATATCTGTTCCTAAAATGCACATTCATTTGAATTAAAAGTATGTGTCTAAAGCAGTTGTTAGATGATGGGAATGGTAAAACTACACTTTAGGGCCGCATCTGATTTTTTGTCACAGAAAGCTGTCATTCATCTCTCACTCAGAGTTTGCAGGCAAGTCAGTTTTGATCTTATGTGTTACATGATCAAGTCTCACATTAGCTTTTTATTTCCTGTAATCAGTGAACGCCATGTACGTGGAGTGAAGAGACAAAGTGAGGGAGAGGAGGTGCCATCCAAGTATGTTATACAGCCGATGATGTGGGGCCTTATTCCTCCATTTTATAAGGTGAGGGTTCTTTCCAGTTTTGTTTTTTCTTTTCTTTTTTTTAAATCTATGAATACTTCTGCATGTGTGCTTGTTTGCTTTTGGATTTTTTCTTTTTTTGTTAACTTGAGATATTACTAAGAATTACTATTTCATTCCTATCATTATGTAGTATAGAGGTCATATAATTGTATGCCATGAGATTATAATTTAGTATCATCTTGCAGGGACCTTCAGCCACAGGTCATGGGTTCAAGACAAACAATTGCCGTGTGGAAGACATAGAGGAAAAGAAGTCGTACAAACCTTCACTGCTGAAAGGACAGAGGTTAATATGATATATTTCTTTCAGTATTTTCCTTTGTGTTGCCAAACTGTCTCATATGTATTTGTGTAATCCAGTTTGATAGGTTGTTTAGAATACATTATCAAAGTACTCAAACAGTTTTATCATACTAGGAAATCATTTTGGTCATGTGTTAATTAAGTTATGCTTATTGCAAGGTATAAGGATAGATGATAGCATTATATATTGCAGGTGTGTTGTCCTGTGTGATGGCTTCTATGAGTGGCAGAGCACAAAGGGAGAAAAAGACAAGCAGCCTTACTTCATTTATGCGCCACAACCAGAAGGGGTACGTATCTTATTATCCCAAAGCATGGTCTTTTGTAATTGGAATAAATTACAGTTAATTAATTCAGACATTTTATTCAGCTCTGATTACTATATGTATCTGGCATAGCTTATTACAGTTGTTGATTATGAAGGGTATATTTACACTAGGTGGAGATCTGGAATCGGGATACGTGGGACAAGCCTGATGTTTGGAGTGCAGAGGAAGGTTGGAAGGGACCTCGTTTACTGAAAATTGCTGGACTCTTTTCCAGTTGGACATCAACGGAGGTGGGGCTTTGTTTAGTCTGTAAAGGTCAAGAATAGTCAGTTCCTTATTTAGAAAAATAATAGATATGTAATATAGATAGTCATTGTTTTGTGAGTAAAAGAATGAAGAAAAAAATGTGAAAAGTAACAAGTAAAAGACAAATATAATATTCAGAGTGATGATGCTGTTTTCCAGTATATTCATATTTTCCAACAGGCTCACTCTTTATGATTTTATTTGATATAAAGAAAAAAATGTCAGTTATAATTGTTTTGAAAAAAATCTGATCTTTTATCCAGTATATAATTGTTTTGTTTTGAGAGTTAGCATTTGTTTTATATTTTATGAATACTTTAATTAAGATTTAAAGTAAATTAGTAATAGGATATGGTTTATTACTGTTTTCAAAGAAATGGAAAAAAAAAATTAAATGAAAAGGGAATCGCATTTTCCCTTAGGGGGAGGAAGTGATGAGCTACACAGTGGTGACCATGGAATCTGGGAAAAAATTTGGCGAACTTCATCACCGTGTTCCTGCCATTTTGGAGACTGACCAGGATGTTGAGGTAAGAATTTTAGACACTTATCTTGTATATTACATTTTATATGATTTAAGGCTAACTTGACCATACATTATTTTCTTTAGTACTGTTTTGCGTTAGAGAGTCAGTTTTGAAAGGGACATTATGACATTCTCATGGACTAGAATGGAGTATTTGTGAATTGCCAAAACTTCTGGACCCTCCCTTAGAAATGGAATGAAAAATGAAAGTTTGTGACTGTACATTTATGTTTTAAAATTTCTTAGGACTGGTTAGACCACAGCCGCTTGGGCTACAAGGAAGCTCTTGCAAACTTGAAGAATGAGACAGAAATAACCTGGCATCCAGTCTCCAAAAGTGTCAATAACTCTCGCAACCAAGAAGGGGATTTGATGTCTCCAGCCAGCCTCGATCAGTAAGTTCCTTTTAAGTTTTTTTTTTTTTTTTTTTTTTTTTTTTTCCGGCTTGTCAGACTTTCTTACATTGTTACTATATAGACATGAATGTATGGCCTTTTTCCCATGTAGATGATTTTCCAAAGTACATTCTGTTTGAGAAAAGAAAGGGTAGTGTCATAGATTATCTCTTTTAAAAGGCAAAAGTTCTTTTCTGCAATTACAAATTCCGTGCAATAATTGTCTTTCATGATAGCTTGACATATCAGTCTATACTGTAACATTATTTGCAGCAATTGTGATTAACTCACATAATTTTTTTTGCTTAAAAGAATGGCCTAATTCTGATACTATTCCGATGTATTTTATTTACAGAAAACCTAAAGAGACTGCCAGCAGCAAACTGATGGCTTCTTGGCTAAGCAAAGCACCTCCCAAACAAAGTGGAATAAAGAAAGAACCCACAACCCCAGACAGTATTAAGAAAGAAAGCCAAGCAGCAAGTGTCAAAAAGGAAGTGAAGCCTTCGCCTTTAGCCAAGTGGCTTAAAAAGGAACCCAAAAATGAAAAGGAATGAAATGGACTTCTTTAATGTTGAAATTAACCTGTCTAAGCCACTTTTACTTGTATGAAGTGAAAAATGACTATATTTACAAAAAACAACAAGTTCTTTTATGCTTGGGTGAGCATAGAAAAGATTGGAGATGAAAGTGTAGTTGAAAGGACAGATTGTGCAAGTACCTGTTTGAATTGAAGATAGTACAATGAAATAAAGTTTTAATTTAGCATACTTTTCCCATGTAATAAGGCATAATTACAAGGTGTTTCAATTATCATGTAACCATAAGTAATACTATGGCAAAAAAAACATGTCCTAAGTACATGTAACCAATATTAATAGAGTGACAAGAAAATGGGTGTGTCCTAATAAAAACATTCAGCTAGTGTATTTGATTTACACACACAACAATTATTTTAAGAAGACATATTTTAATAAAGATTTTTTTTTAAATGTTTTCTTTTTCATTTGCAAGATAGGTGATGGAACCTTATATGCAATTTTTCAGTAATGTTATTGAGTAGGCAAGAGCAAAAAGTATGAAATATGCTTATGTTTAGTAAGCTCCTCATGGATATGTTGTGTGCATTTTTTCTGCATAAAAGTGTTATATTAATACTTGCAAAGATGTGATATTTCTAGTTCATAACAGTTAATTCTAAAATTAATGAAGCAAAGATACTTCTACTTATCCAGAATTTTTCATTTGTGAAAAATGCACTGAGAATTCTTCCCTCACCATTTATAAAGGAGAACTGACATTAACTGATGTGACATGTGATAAAAAACATCAAGTGATCATTTACCATTCTTGTATAGTAATGCCTAGATATAACATCATCTTTACATAATAAAGTTATTCATAACATAATGAATACAGCTGTTATTGTAGAGATCACAATGGATAGTATCATAAATTCAAGAAAAAAGTGTATATATAGAATGATATATACCAAACCTTGCTTCTTCTGACCTATCACTTAGACAGCATCTGCATAATCTTGGAATGTTAATTGTTGTGTTATAATATACTGCATATAATATATATAAACCATGCTTATATCTCATGTTAAAGGTTTGGCAACCCTGTAATGTGATTCAGAGTAGAGATGATAATCATGTCTGCATATAATTTACTCACATACTTATTTTCTATATTATCAGACATCATACTTTAAAACATTGCATTTGGTTAACACTGAAAATAGCATAATATATGTCTCAGAAAATAAAAAAAAGGAGTCTCAGATAGCATTTTGCTTTTTCATTTCTTAAGAGAATATTGATCAATAGTTGGAAAATGAAACTAAATAAATACATTATGATTTATTATAATTAAAACTCCTTATCTAAAATCTCACATAAAAGGGACTAAAGAGACAAACAATAGTATTCAAAATGTCATTATTTAAAATGCAAACTTATTCCTTTGTGGAGAGAATTTTGTCTTATATACATATACAATATGTACACACAAACTAAC